TTGGTACGAGGAAATAACTTAGTCAAATATCGAATATAATGCTTAGTATGAGGTAATGATAAGGGTTAGGATACTAACACACGTAGCAAGACCAAGGTGCGGAGTGAGATTTTCTAGATGCCAGACCAACGATTTAGAAATACATAACTTATCACTTTGCATGCAAGATACTAGAAAAGAATTGTTCTAGTAAGAATTATCAAGTTATGAACCTGTGGGGAACACGTAAACCCTAGTTACTTTGATTAATTGATTAAAATCCAACATTCAAAGCTTGTAAGTTTCTCTTTCAATTGCGTTAGTTATTTTCATTCATTTAGAAATAGAAACCCCCCTTTATTGTTTTTACTTTCCAAGGAAGTCATTGACCAAACAATAGTAATAATAGGTTGAAGTTAAGTCAAGACTATTTTCCTCGTGGGAACGATCCCAACCTCACTAGTTGGGTTATTTACTTTACACGACCACTTTACTTCTTATTTGAGAAGTACGTTTGAGCGTATCATAGGCATATGAATTGGATTACTCTTGCAAGAAGGATTCTACGAGCCGGATATTTCTGGATAACTATGGCGAACAATTGTTGCATGTCTGTGAAAAAGTGCCACAAATGTCAAGTGCACGGTGATTTGATAAGAGTGCCACCTCATGAACATAATGCTATGAGTTCACCGTGGCCATTTGTAGCTTAGGTAATGGATGTCATTGGTGCGATAGAGACAGTCGCCTCTAATGGACACAGATTCATCCTTGTTGCCATTGATTATTTCACTAAGTGAGTGGAAGCAACTTCTTACAAGTCGGTAACCAATAAAGTGGTGGATGATTTTGTTTGCAACAATGTGACATGTAGATTTGGTGAGCCAGAATCCATCATTACTGATAATAGGGCAAATCTCAACAGTCACTTGCTGAGAGAAATATGTGAGCAATTTAAGATAATCATTGAAATTCAAGTGCTTATCGTCCCCAAATGAACGGAGCTGTAGAGGCCGCCAATAAGAATATCAAAAAGATTTGAGGAAAATTATTGGCAGGCATCGAGGTTGGCATGAGATGTTACCATATGCTTTATTGGGATATCGTACGATTGTCAGAACATTAATTGGAGACACTCCAATTTTGCTAGCATATGTAACAAAAGCAGTCATACCTGCTAAATTCGAGATGCCGTCTTTGAGAATCCTCCAACAAGCTTAATTAAGTAACGTTGAATGGGTTAGCAAGCGGATTGATCAACTAACTTTGATTGATGAGAAGAGAATGGTTGTCGTCTGTCATGGTTAATTGTTTAGACAGAGAATGATTTGTGTCTCTCACAAGAGACTAAGAGCCCGAATTTTTTAAGCTGGCTAGTTGGTTCTTAAGTTTAATTTTCCTCATCAAGACGTGTACAAAGTAAAGTTCGCATCGAACATGCAAGGAACTTACATGGTTCGCAAAGTATTATGTAGAGGTGCTTTGGTCCTGCCGGAGATGGATGGAACTATATGGCCTAAACCTATAAACTCAGACGCTGTCAAGAGATACTACGTGTGAAGCTTCGGTTTGCATTTCAGTTATTTACTTCTAATCGTTCTGTTTTCTCGTATGCGTCTTTCTTAAATTTTACCCCTCTTGGAATGCACTACGTTTGACCTGAATTATGAAGAATAAGATACGTAGGCGGCCTATGTCGGATTCGGTCATCCCATTTACCCCTTTTAAATATTTTCTTGTATTTGAACTACGTTCGACCTGAATTCTTAATAATGAGATACGTAGGCGGCCTATGTCGGCCTCGGTAAGTTTCTTTGTAAATTTCTCTTTGTTAACCTTTAAGGGGGAACAACGTTTGACTTGATTCCTGCCTCAACGAGATATGTAGGCTCCACAAGGGTTCGGTCATATCTCCTATAAGATTTCTATTTCCTTCTACAATAGAAACTGGGACAACATTTTAGAGAGGGACTCAAAAATTCTCAAACAGAAAAAAAAATCTTCCTCAGCAAGTCAAGAAAGAAGATATTTCATGATTTGCAACTGGGACAGAATTTTTGAGAAGACCTCAAAATTCCGCGATCTTATCAAGTAAAGTGGAAAGATAAGCAAGAAAGTTAACTGGGACAGAAACTTTGAGGATGACCTCAAAATTTCAGCATAGATCTACAAGTACAGAGTGACTTTGAATGTTCCCAGCGAATAATCAGATAAGCCTTCAAGCATTGGACTTAATGAAGTTTTTCAAGCAAAATATAATATGACTTGGCAGGGATCTTTCTCAGATGCTATTTCTTGAAAATTTATTTTCTTAAAAATTTTCCTTTATAGTTCATTTCTTTTGGCATAAAATACATTGTCTTATCTTTCAAGAGTTGGGAGATCAGTAAATCAACCGGAGATAGCAAGACAAGGAGAAAATAACTGAAGAAATCGACACAGATTAATATGTTTTTAAACTAACAATTTTTCTGTCTACGCATGTTTATAGTTTTGCTCTGAAATCGGCAAATTCTTCGGATGGATGAATCTGGAAAGGTCCAAAGAGGAGAAAACTATCCCAAAATCAATAGTTTTCCTAAAAGCAAGAAATAATATATATTACATATGTCGACGACTTGGGAATATGAATTGTTTATTTCAATCAATTTCCCACGACATGAGATTTATAAAGAAACGTCTGGCTGATTTAAAGGTGATTCAAGTAAAAATCTCAAGGGAGAGTTTATAGTTTTCGTGCAGGACACTGTCTGCATCACATTATCAAACAAGACAGTGTTGTTACCCGGAGGGGTCATTTATTTTATTATCAATTAAGACATTGCATTACACAGAGGGATAGTTATTTTTTTGTCAATATCATCATCAAAGACGATATGAATAAGCATGCATCGCGAGTCAATATTCAGGCATCACGGAAGACCATGCATCACAAGTGAATACTCATGCATCGAGGAAGAGCATGCATTCCGTGTCAATACGTATGCATTGTGGAAAACCATGCATCCCCAGTCAATATTATGCGTCGCGGAAAAATTTCATACCCCGCAGAAAATTATGCATCGTGAGAAAAATCCATACCTCATGAAAATTATGCGTCGCGGGAAGACTTCATACCTCGCAAAAATTATGCATCGTGGGAACATTTCATACGCCATAGAAATTATGCATCGCGAGAAAATTTCATACCTCGCAGATATCATGCATCGTGGGAAGATTTCATACCTCACAGAAGTTATGCATCGCGAGAAGATTTCATACCTCACAAAAATTTACGCATCACAGGAAGATATTCATGTCTTGTATGAAATTATGCATCGCGAGAAGATTTCATACCTTGCAAAAATTTACGCATCGCAAGAAGATATTCATGTCCTGTACGAAATCATGCACTGCCAAAGAATCAATCGTGCATCCAAATAGAACTATTAATCTGTTGGCATCAACTGCATTTTTTTAGTTTGATTAATGTAAACAAAACGAAGAGTGCATCGACATCAAGAGAAGCGTCGGCACCACACCATCTTCCATTTATGTTGACTTCAGCATGAAGAGTACATTGACATTAAATGAAATATCGGCATCGCATTAGCATTTATTTATTTCGACCTCAAGTGAAGAAAACATTGGAGTTTACACTACAAATACCAGACATAAGCTTTATTTGATTTATGTTAGATTAATCGAGTTAACATCAAATGTTGATGAGAACAATCGAGTGTCGACACGGTAAAAAACACTGTCTCCTATCCCAATTGCATTTTTAATTTGACGAGTTTTATCTCAGTCATTGTCGAGAGCATCTGAAAGGATGAATTCTCCAAAAAGCACAGGTGCGGACGATGTCTAAAAGACGCAGCACAACGTGGAACTTTTCCTTAGCAGCGAACTTGGACATTGTCCAAAGGGGAATGTCAAACTATTAGGACATGAATAGAGGAGCGACTTACACAACAATCAAACCCCCCCCCCCCTATCATAAGGAATGTAGTTTTTTTTCTTCACTTTTGTCAATTTCGGTCTCACATCAAGAAATTTTGATCTACCGGAAGCAAGTTTCAAATTTAAGTGACAACGCGCCAAGAGCTTGGAGATTATGTCAGTGTAAATTCTTAATTATGGGTGTGAAGTGCACCACATTCATTGCTAAGAGGTTGCAAGTCTCCCTTTCATACTTGTTGATTTGTCATTTGTCCACAACCAAAGATTATCTAACATAATAGATTTCCTTTTCTATCGATCGAGTCGAACTACAAGTGGCCTGATTTCTCATATAACCTGAGATGTAGGAAACCCGTGTCTGTGGTTTGTCCATAATTACTAAAGTTTCTACCAATTCCCTTCCTAAAAGATGAGCTTGAGGTAAGTCAAAATTGGTTGGGTCAATTTCATTTTCCTCGAATTTCTTGTATCAACCGAGTAAAACGAGGGAAAGTTGTTGACACCCAATTTGACTTTTCCTGATACTAATTAATTAATGAGCCTCTTAATCTTAAACGTTTTGAAATAATTAATTTTATTAAGGTTTAAAGGGTTTCACTAATTATTTCAAATAAATCTTATTGTTTTCATGATTCTTAGACATTACATATGGTTAACATAATAGTGTATATATAACTAAGATATTTTATGATTTTTCAAATTCATCTCTAAAGAATTTATTCTTTTTAAGTATTTTACTAATTAGTTTAGTTATATATTAGTTTTAGATTTTAATTATCTTATAATTACGCTGATTATTTTGTTTTGTTAAAGTAAGAAGCTTGCTCAATTGATTTGTAATAATTCCTCTTATCTAGCATATCATTTACTTCTATTCCATTTGGACAAATCAAATTTCGGGCCCTTGGAATATCTATGTAATACTTTTCACAGCCAAATCCAATCCTCCCTAGTCCATTTTGTTTCTTTGCCTTTTTTTTTACCCAGCCCATTTTTTTTCATTTCCAACGAGATCAAGATCTCGAATACTCCACAAATTGATGGATTATTCATATAGAGAGATTAAATCTAAATCATCCTAGTTCGAGAAATACACCACTAACGGCCCTCGAATCATGGATAAATCATATTAGAGAGTAGAATCAAGGGAGGAACAGATTTGTACTCATAATCTTGATGAATAAAATCACGTTTCTTCATAAAAAAAAAAAAAAACCATTTATGCTATCCGACCAAAGCCCATTTTCAGGAAAATATCCAGCAATGTGCTCCAGCCAAGAGCCTCGACCCTACCAATTTATCTTCTTTTAGCGAAAACCCAGAGCTTTGCTGAAGGATTTCAGCGCGTACAGTCAATTTGATCCCATATTTCTTCATCGTCTGGAGCATCGAAGCTCAGAAACGTCGAGTGCGTGGATGGCAACGGAGAGTACAAAGATAAAACTCTAAGGATCATACTGTTTTGTCTTATTCCTCAACGTTCATCCCTGTTCGTACGATGGCAGACATGCGTTTTCATCCTTTGAGACTCGACATTCAGCCACGTTGCTTGCTAGTACAATGGATCGATCTTGTCCCTCCACCTCCCTTGAAATCTGTTCAAAATCATTTGGAATGGGAAGATTATTGGTTTTCGGATAAGATTTTGGATTTTTAATCTGAAATGGGTCTGGATTAATTTCGGAGTTTTATCCATTTTTTCCAAATCGAAGCACTAACCCATCGTTATATAAGATCTACTCGTCGAGAAAAACAGAGAGTGTACTTTGTGTTGTAAAGAACAGTGGAAGTAAGATAAAACACTTGTTCAGTTTCAAGTTTTAGGGGTGTGGTTTGGGAATCGATTCAAACACTTCAAGTCCTCTGCTGCGCCTGAGTCCGAAAGATTTCACAAAGCTCTCCTTTTAGTGTGAAGTCGTCTCCTTTGCTCGTGTGTTCTCGGTCGCTGCCCTTGAGAAGGTACGTAATTTTTTTTCTTTCTTTCTTTAAACTTCTTTGGTATGAGAACAAACCTCATGCTATTCACTTTGTTGTGTATTTCAATTACCAATAAGGGTAGAGGTTTCTTGCGTTGCTTTATAGATTATAACGGCCCGGTTTTGCTGTTTATTTAGTCGTTTCTACATGAATACCCGACCAAATGGGTATGTACGAGCGTCGGGTTGATTTCTTGTCGCTACATCGTATCTATATTAAGTTTTGAATGCTAAGTTTCTGTCAATAGCAATGATTTTGTGTACTTAATTTCCTTACGTTTTCTTTTCATGATTAAAGGTAGCTAAGTTAAGAGTTGTAGTTGGCATTACAAAAAAAAATTAGATTGAGCAGGCCATGTTTGTCACTTAGATATCTGTTTGTGTGCTTTGTTTTCTACATTTTGTCTTATAATGCTTAGTTCCTCTTTGATTTTATAAATATCAGTCGTCTGAATCGGTTAAGGCTTATTTTCTGTCGTCTTGGTTAGTTTAATCGTGATTAGTTCCCTCCTTATTTTGTTAATTGTCGCACCATTTCATAGAATTTTGTATAAATCGATTTTCTAGGTACTCAAATAGCATGCTTGTCGTTTAAAAATATTCTCGATCATTTTGTTTTTATTTTATTTGGAGTTTGATCCTTCCACCCCTTTGATTGTTCATTGTGCTGAAAGTGCCATTGAAATTATTACATGGTTTCTTGACATATCTTTGGGCATCGATTACAAGTTTAAGTTCGTGTGAATAGGCGTAGATTTATGTCGTCCTTTATGACTGTTGTGTCATTGATGACTGTCTTTTATTACAAGATTCATATCTTGTTCCTATCAGTGGTATTACAAGAATGATATCTCGAAAGAATGATAAATCATGTTCATTCCTCTTTCCCCCCTTATGTTTGTTGTAGTTCTAAATATCCAAGTTTCCTTTGTTCATGTTTGTCAATAGTACAATTTCCTATTATGTCTCATTAGCATTGTTTTGTTTGCTTGTCCATGAATAAAGTGTCCAGCCTCACTGATTTGTGATGTGCGTTATTTTGTGGTTAACTATCTATTCTTGTTTTCCTAGTTGATCTTAATTGAACCTAGTGTGTTAACTTTTTTGTGTTGTTCGTATGTAATTGATTAATTTCGTTGTAGTCCCTTTGAAATTCTTTGTGCTAATCAGGATGCATATTATTATTATTATTATTATTTCAGAAAACATGTATAGTTTGAATGCCCGGCAGTTTGTTGCCTTTTTCGTTTCTGCCTCTTCCTTACTCGTTTTAGGAGATTGAAGTTTATTATTTATGGAAGTGCTATTGGTTTTTTAAGAACTAGACTTTTGGTTAAAAATCAATCGACCATGGTTTTCTCATACTATATAAAATAGTCTTAAGACATTATCTAAAATATTGATGGAGACTTATGTTCACTTGTTCTAAATCTGTTGTATTAATCAACTATGGTTTTATTGTTTTCTTACATTAATTTAGAAACTTGTATGATTTGTCCCTTTAGGTTTCAAATTAAAAGAGGATTATTTGGATGTGGTTTATGTCACTTACACGCTTATTTGTCTTTGATTGCATGTGTAATCATTTTGAGTTCACGAGGAACTCATTCTCTCGCATATCGAGACGCTCGTAAAGGCCAAAGCTTATCTTATTCTTCTCTCCAACGAGTCAGTCTTAAATCGTTGGACGGATTCCTGAAGTTGAATTATTATAAGGATTGAAGAGTGCCGAAGAAGTCGGATTAGAAGATCCATTTTAATTTATTATGTTGTATTTATTTTGGGCATAAGCCTTGACATTTTTTTTTATTATTTTACTTTGTATTTATTATTTGCTTAGATTAGGACATGTACGAAGGAAGATGGGTCAAAAACTCTAAAAAAATCACATGGGTCAAAACAAAAAGAAAATGGGTCCAAATACCAGTCCAGGCGGACAAATAAACCGGACTTGGACCAAACCCTCCCTTTCTTTCTATCTATTTACTTTCCCGCATACTTATTTGTTATTTTATTGCCGCTGATATTGAGGTTAGAAATTCGCAAATCCTCACCAGACGCCACGATGTTTTAGCAGTTCAATTTGATTAAATAGTATAGACCAAAATCATAGTAAATAAATTTCCAATTAAAAAAACTTAAACATTTTAGCCAAATTGTTAGTTGCTGGAAAACTGTTTTAGACGGATGTTTTAGGTGCATAACACCTTCCTAAAATATATTATGAATCCCCGAACCCCTTTCACATTTTCAAACGATTTTCTCTGTTAAGTTATTTGAAAACAAAAGTTTCTTAATTTTCCTCAAAATTAAGTGGCGGATCCTGGAAAGTCAAAAACTCTTCAAACCAAATATTTTCCAATTTCTGATAACACATATACTATTTTAGGTGCAGGCACAGGTGGTCGATAGAGTTGCAGGATCTTCATAGCATCTATACGGATGTCAACATTCATTCGGAGTTTGTTAGGTCCTCATACTTTCGAGGATGCTACTGTTTTATATTCTAGCATAATTTTAGAGTTGAGCTAGCGGAGCATGTTCCACTAGCATTTCTTTCCTCTTTTGATTCAGACTTTGTATTGGGACATTTAGGCAATTATACAATTAAGACTTAATGAACTATTTATTTCAGTTGTTTATTTCTTTAATATTAGATTGTTGATGATGAACGATTATAAAATGTTAAGAATGTTTAGAAAGCATGTGTAAAGAACAAAAAGTTTCAAATTTTCGCTAAAATTAACCTATGTAAAGCAAGTATGAAGTAAGTAGGCTTGTTTGCGACCTATAAGAGGTCAAAAATGGCGATCTTGTCTGGGATCTAGATTCCAGTCGTGACAAAGTTTGTATCAGAGCACTAGTTTAATTTACGATAATAATGAGTTCAGTTCAACCACACTGAGTAGTTTCTAAGTCATGGTAGAGAAGTGCACCACTACCATGTGTTAGAGACTACATCATGCATAAGAAAATTTCCTTTCTTCTAATATTATCGTGCTTTTCCTAATGTCGGAGTTCCTTGTGTTATGAGCGTGTCTGACATCAACCCGTATTGTTTTTTAGAGAATGATATCTAGGAGGGCTATTGGTCAGAGGAGGAGGGGGGGCAGCTTCTAGGGGCAATGGAGTTCCACCCCAGGCCCCAGCTGAAAGAATGGCCATGCCGGTTAACCCACTGGGTTGATCGATGCTGATTTGAGGGCATCATTGACTGAGATGGCACAAACAATCACAATGCAGGCTCAGGATATGGCTGCCCAAGTCAAGCGGTAAGATGTTTAGAGAGAGAACTCATCGATTTGCAGCAAGGCTGACACACTGCGAGATTTCATGAGGATGAACCCTCCCATATTCACAGGGACTAAGACATTGGAGGATCCTCAAGAGTTTGTAGATATAGTGCATAAGATCCTGGTGGCTATGTGGGCCACTGATATTGAGAAGGTTGAGTTGGCTTCCTATTAGATCAAGGATGTTGCAAAGGCTTGGTACAAGATGTGGCAAGATAGTCGTGTCTTAGGTGGAGTGTCAGTCACATGGGAGCTGTTCAAGACAACATTTCTGGAGAGATTCTTTGCCAGAGAGTTGAGGGAGGCCAAGGTTGAGGAGTTCATCAACCTTAAGCAACGCTTTATGACGTCCGAAAGTATTCCCTGAAGTTTGTTAAGCTATCAAGGTATGTTACTTTCCCCTAGTATTTAATAGCAAGGACGAGGAGAATACTGAGCTTTGTTGAAATCATCCAGGTATGATACTTCCCTGGTTTCTAACATCAGGGATGAGATGCGCAGGTTCGTCACAAGAATCAATGGAAATCTGGAGGAGGAGTGTCGATCTACAATGATCGATGATAACATGGACCTTCCACATTTATGGTACATGTCCAACAAGTACAGAACTGTCGTAGAAAGAGAGGTATTTGTGATGTTAGGAGGCCTAGGCCTCAAGATCAGGCAGGTCCCAGTCATGGATACTACATAAATTATTTGGGCATCCGTGAGCAGCCAAAGTTCAAAAAGGGGCAACAGAGTTTTGGGAATTCAAATCCTCAGAGGGGTGCCACACCTAAATGAGAAAGACCTGAGCCCAAGAAGGGCAATGGAGGTGAGAATCAGCGTTTGAAGAAGAACTGTTCTCAGTGTGGTCGAGCTCACAGTGGAGAGTGCAGACAAAGCATAAATGCGTGCTTCGGTTGTGGTAAGAGTGGACGCATGGTCAAAGACTTTCCACAGAACAGAGGTCAAGCCAGAGGTAATGCTCAGCCTAGGCCTAACCCTTAGTGTGGAGAAACAGCCGAGCATCACAAGAGGAACAAATTGTATGCCCTGAAAGGCAGGAAGGAGCAGGAAAAGTCTGTGATATGGTCACAGGTATGCTGGAAGTATTCTCAAATTCTATTTATGCTATACTTCATCCAGGTTCTACTCTTTCCTTTGTGACTCCTCTGCTTGCCTTTACTTTTTAAATTCTACCTGAAGTTCTGCATGATCTTATAGTAGCTAGTACGCTGTTAGGAGCAAATGTAAGAATTGATAGGGTATACAAGGATTTCCCTAAGTTGTAAGTGGTAAGACTATGTGTGCGAACTTAATCGAGTTACCCATGCATGATTTTGATATGATTGTTTGCATGGTCTACATTCACTGTTATTATGCTTGCTTGGACTATCGTAGTAGAGTGGTGAGTTTTTGCTTCCCTGATGAAGAAGAGTTAGTTTGGGAAGGGTATGATTTAAGTCATCCTAATCCCTTGATTTCAAATATTAAGTCTAATAAAATGATGTCCAAGGGGTTATTATGTCATCTTGTGAGTGTTAAAGACTTAGATCATGACATTCCTTCCATAGACTCAGTGCCTGTAGTGAATGAGTTCCTAGATGTGTTTCCTGAAGATTTGCCTGGAGTCCTTCACCTTCGAGAGATTGACTTTTGTATTGATTTAGAAGCCGATAGTAAACCAATAAAGATTCCTCCTTATAGAATGGCTCCAGCAGAACTCAAACAGTTCAAACTGCATTTAAAAGATCTCACTGATAAGGGTTACATTCAGCCAAGCATATCCCCGTGGGCGCTCCAGTATTGTTTCTAAAGAAGAAAGATTGGACCCTTAGAATGTGTATCGATTATCGGCAGCTTAACCAAGGCACTATAAAGAATAAGTATCCACATCCCAGAATAGATGATTTGTTCGATCAGCTCCGAGGGTCTAGTTTCTTCTCTAAGATTGATCTTCGTTCATGGTATCAACAGCTTAGGGTTAGGTATGGAGACGCACCAAAGATAGCCTTTTGTACCTGTTATGGTCATTATGAGTTCTTGGTCATGTCATTTGGTCTTACGAATTCAAGTGCGGTATTTCCAGATCGCATGAACATAGTTTTTCTTGAATACCTTGAATCTTTTGTTACAGTATTCATTGATGAAATTCTCATCTACTCTAAGACAAAGGAAGAGCATGAACAACATTAACGACTAACCTTGCAGGTACTTAGACAACAAACTTGTATGCCAAATTCAAAGTTTGAATTTTGGATTAGATCAATGGCCTTCCTAGGTCATGTTGTGTCCGATCAAGGTGTAGAGCTGGACCCCATGGAGACTGAAGATGTTCAGAACTTGCCAAAACATCTTACTCCCACTGACATTCGTAGTTTTTTAGGATTGGCTGGTTACTATCGCATGTTTGTTGAGGGCTTTTATTCCATTGTTACCCCATTGACAGCTTAGACTAACAAGAAAGTCAATTTTGAATGGACGGAGACTTTTGATAAGTGTTTCAAGGAGCTCAAGGACATACTCACTTCAGCCTCGGTGGTTATTCTACCTAAGTGTTGTGAGAATTACACGATTTATTGTGATACATATAGGGTTGTTTGAGTTGTGTTCTAATGCAGGCAGGTAAGGTGATAGCCTATTCTTCCAGAAAGCTCAAGGTTCATGAGAAGAATTATCCCACTCATGCCATGGAATTGGCAGCTATGGGGTTTGCACTGAAGTTGTTGTGGTATTATATATATGCAGTGCACTTGGATGTGTTTACAGACCATAAGAGTCTCCAGTACGTGTTCACACAGATGGGGTTTAATCTATGTCAACGGAAATGGTTTGAGGTGTTGATGGATTATGACATGAATGTGCACTACCATCCAGGTAAGGATAATGTGGTGGTTGATGCTTTGAGCAGGATGAGCATGGGGAGTACAACCCACCTTGAGGATGAGAAAAATGAGTTGGCAAAAGAGGTACACAGACAGGCCAGACTAGGTGTGTGGTTGGTTGACTCTACTAGTGGGGGTGTTCTAGTTCACCCTAGTTCTGAATCATCCCTGATAATTGATGTCAAGAAGAGTCAGCATCTTGATCCTTTGTTGATGGAGCTGAAGGACTCGGTGTTGTTTAAAATGAATGATTCTTCCACTTTGGGAGATGATGGCATACTTAGATACCAACACAGGTCGTGTGTACCAGATGTGGATGATTTACGTACCAGGATTGTGGCAGAGGCCCATCATTCAAGATATTCAATACATCCAGGTTCCATCAAAATGTATCATGATCTTAAGAAGATTTATAGATGGGTTGGCATAAAGAATAACATCGATGAATATGTGGCTAAGTGTCCTAATTGTCAGCAGGTTAAGGCAGAGCATCTTAAGCTTGGTGGTCTGACTCAGATTATTGAGGTTTCGACTTGAAAGTGGGAGGCCATTAATGTGGACTTCGTGGTTGGCCATCCGAGGAATAGGAGGCAGGATGACTCCAATAAGTTAGTGTGGACAGGTTGACTAAGTCTGCCCACTTTATCCCTGTGAAGTCCGAGAATTATGTGAGACTCTACATTGATAAGATATTGAAATGGAATGGGATTCTTTTGTCTATCATTTCAGATAGAGGAGCTTAGTTTACTTCACATTGTGGAGATCTTTCCAGAAAAGCATGGGCACACAGGTAAAACTTATCACTGCCTTTAATCCTCAGACAGATGGGCAGGTAGAGCACACCATTAATACATTGGAGCACATGTTTAAAGCATGTGTGATTGACTTTAGACATAACGGGGATGACCATCTTTGATAGAGTTCTCGTATAATAATAGCTATCACTCCAGCTTTGGGATGTCACCGTTTAAGGCATTTTATGTTAGGAGGTGTAGATCTCCAGTTGGGTGGTTAGAGGTTTTAGAGTTGTCCCTTTTGGGTCTAGAGATCATTCATGAGGCCTTGGAGAAAGTTAGAGTAATTTGGGAAAGGTTGGCTACTGCTTACAACTGATAGAAATCATATGTAGACAACAAAAAGCGGCCTTTAGAATTTAATGCTGGTGACTATGTTTACTTGAAGATATCACCTATGAAAGGGGGGATTAGATTTGGTAGAAAAAGAAAGATGAGTCCGAGGTATGTGGGGCCATACGAGATCCTACAGCGTGTGGGTTAGGTTGACTATGAGTTCGCATCGCATGCGGATCTATCTTCTTTCCATCCGGTCTTTCATGTCTCTATGTTGACAAAATGCCTAGGTGATGCAACATCGATTCTACTTGTGGAAGGTTTAGGGGTTGGTGAAGACTTGTCTTATGAGGAGGTACCTGTTGAGATCTTTCACAGAGAGGTCAAGCGGC